TGAAACTTCGACCGATTGTGGCTGGTCCTGCGTGTCCCACTCATAGACTGAGTAATTTTATAGATATACTCTTGAAGGATCTGTGTGAAAAAGTCCCGAGCTACATACGAGATAGCATGGATTTTTTAAACAAAATTCCCGAAAACGTGGAGCCAGATACACTACTTGTAACCTTTGATGTGAAGAGTCTATATACTAATATTCCACATGATCTTGGACAAGAAGCCATAAAATTTTGGATTGAAAAGTACCCAGAGTTAATTCCAAGAAACATTTCTTCAGAATTTATTCTAGACTCAGTTAGATTTATACTGGAAAACAACACATTTCATTTTGATGGAGATTTTTATAAACAGATCAAAGGAACTACCATGGGGACTAAAATGGCACCAACATACAGCATCCTTGTTATGGGATTCTTTGAAGAAACATTGTATCAAAAGGTTTCCGATGAATTGGGTGAAGATATTGGGAAACATTTAAGGGATTATTGGAAACGATTTTTAGATGACTGTTTCCTATTTTGGAACAAATCAGAAGAGGATTTACAAACACGCTACACGGTACCAAATTCAATAAATCCAAATCTTCAATTCACAATGGAGCACAGTGATTCCTCTATTCCTTTCCTTGACGTCATGGTCACAAAGCAAAACTCACTTATTTTAACGGATATTTTTTATAAAACCACGGATACGCACCGATATCTAAACTTCACTTCGTGCCATTCTACTCACACCAAAAGAAATATCCCTTACAACTTAGCCAGAAGGCGATGAAGAGGACGCTGAAGCTATAACATCAAAGTGGAAACGATTTTTAGATGACTGTTTCATTCTTTGGAATGACAACATTGAGAGATTATCAATTTTCCCCCAATTATTAAACGACTTAGATTCCAACATTAAATTTACCATGGAAAGCAGCGATATGGAATTACCTTTCCTTGACGTTCTTGTCGTCAAAGAAGATACCAAACTTTCAACGGATATCTTCTACAAATCAACTGACACCCACCAGTATTTACATTTTGTTTATATATCCTGTCACCCTCATCACACAAAAACAGCAATTCCATACAATCTGGCTAGACGTTTATGTGCTATCGTTAGTGACGAAAACACCAGAGATATCCGACTAAAAGAACTCAAGTTATACCTTTTAAAACAGGGATATCCTCAAAACCTGATAGATAACGGGATATTGAAAGCCAAAGGATATGAACGGTCAGAATTACTGTCTACAAAAACCCAGGAAAATAAAACGGATATAATTCCATTTGTGCATACCCACAATCCAAGGAATCACAATTTGACCCCCATAGTACACCAACTTAACAACGTTCTGAAAACGGACCGGTCAACACAACAAATATATAGAGATGTAAAATTTATTAACAGCAGAAGACAGCCCAAGAATCTTAGAAGAATTCTGTGTTCGTCCCATTTTAAGAATAGTTACAAAGTGACTAAGTGTGAAGACGCGCGTTGCGGGACGTGTACACATATAATGGAAGGATCAACTTATGACTTTAATGGAAGACAATTCAAAGTCAATGCAAACATGTCTTGTGCCACTAAACATGTAATATATGTAATAACATGTGCTGGATGCCAAGAATTTTATATCGGGGAAACAAGCAATCAATTGCGTGCCCGGGTGCGTGTCCACCGACAACATATTAACTCTCCAGAATATCGGCAAATCCCTCTGAGTGAACATTTGGATACTTGTGGAAATAAACAATTCACTATATTTCCGTTTTACAAACTTGCAAGTGAAAGTGATATTCAGAGACGTGAGAAAGAAAAACATTTTATACATATGTTCAAACCTAGACTGAACATTGAGCATAATTGTTGTAAAAATTATACTTATTATTTTCATTCTACAGTTTTCCCGCAAAGTTTAACTATGACGTCACAATAGACATTTGTATGTAATATTCCGCTTATTATGACGTTATGACGTTATGTTGCTATGTTACGTATTGTAAAGCTTCTGAAGATTTGAAATGAAAGCGCTTAAGGACAGACGAGACGTTCCTTAATAATAGATAAATTTTTCTCAGAGTTTGTCATTGAAGTATTGCTACTTAAACTCGTTCACTCACAAAAAATTGAGGTACCTTACCAGGCATTTCTGCAAGATACCAGGGGTAGTTTTTCTTATATAATCCTTTGGGGAAGAAATTTAATTTTCCTATTTCAAATGTTTAAGTGTTTGGATTTTTTAAAAATGTTTAGAAACTGGTTTAGAAATAAGAATGTTATTAAAATTTTGAATATTTTTCATACATTACGAAGATATACAAAACAGATTTTGAGGAACGTCTCGTCTGACCTTAAACTAAACTAAAGTTTTTCGTGTTTCTTCTACCGAGCACTGTGGATTTTTTTTCTGCTTCAATATATATATATATATATTTTTTTTTTGTGGCAAGACTTTTCATTGAATACCAATGACCTTGACCTGAAAAATTTCCATACTTATGAAAAAACTTTAACCTTGGCCTACTTTCATATTTCACAATTGTATTTTCAGTGAGAATACCCTACTTTTAATATCAATATACACGGATGTATTAGAAAATTTGCATTTAAGAACATTTTAATCTTTCCTATGTTGCCATACGGGGGCATAAGTTTTTTCACAAGCATATCTTGTTGTGCTTTGAAATCGTTTGTAGTTCTTATTATTATGTTCTACATTTCCATGACAAGGTCTCGTCCGTGTTATAGTACGTTGAATTTTGTAGACTTGCAATGTATTTTATAAGGATAATTACATTGAATGAAAGTATAAAAAGCTTTAAACTTACATCATACATGTGAGGTTTTAATTTTAGTGCAATATTCAACCGATTTAAATGCGTTTTTATATGATGATTCTAAACTTTTCAAAATTTATTGTTTAGAAGATCAAAAATATGTACAAGTTTCATTCATCAAGCCATTCCAACGATCACATTTCTCTTCTTCAGAACAGTTGCATTTATGACGACATCCAAAGCCATAAAATCCAGTTGTACAATGTTTTCTACAGTTTTCTCCCCAGAATGCAATGCAAGCTTTAAGATTTCATTTTTGGTGAGGTTTTGATACTTTTCGAAAGAAATTGTATTTAAAGTCGAAAACTGAAAAGAAAAATCCATTTTTTTAGAGAAAAAAAAGACACGCTCACAAAATCAAGTTGTTTAAAAAGTCTTCACAACATTCAGTAACTTCTGATTTGCTATGAACGTAAACAAAGAAATAATGAGAAATTATTTCCATATGTTGTCTTGAGGTTTCCCAGTTAACATGGAATTAAAGGCACCACAGAGTCTGCCACCTCTGATGTGATGGAGGTCCGTGTTTTCTCTGCTCTTGTTTTATATTGTTTCATGTACTTTTGAGCTTGAATACTGGATGTTATTTCCTAATAATTCATTGAATTGATATACATGGAGATTTTGAACAGAATTCAAGCTCAAAAGTCCCACATTACAAAATAGGAGCTTAGCAAACACGGACCTCCAAATATTAAAGGTGTTGTCAGATGCAATGGAGGATTAAGCATCCCCTGCCGACCGGTCACATCCGCTGTGTACGCCATGTCATGATCAGGAAAAAACGGATGTTTTCTTCGACAATTCAGTGTTTATAATGGCCTAGAAATTAGAATGATAAACATCGTTCAGCATTTGACTCAATGATAAACTGTATTTGCGGACAAGGCCATTGTTTCGACAATTTAAACGAGACTGCCGATATTCTTGTCTCATCAATTACTTTATTAATAACTTGCCTAGTTGTAAAAAGTTTTCATACGTAGGGCATACTGTAAGATTTAAACTCCGTATGCAGATGATGAAGATATATTTCTGCGTAAGAAAAGGGAAATAGGCGATTGAAAAGTTAAAGTCGTCTCGTTTGTCAAAATACAGTGGTTGTTATATTTTCATCAATGTTTTTTTCAAGGAAAATATTTTAATATGAAACATATGTGTCAGACTCTTTGGTTTTAAGCTCACCGGGATATATCGTATCGACATAAGAAAGGAAATGTTCTTTGTTAATTGACAATACGTCGTCGATATATCTTAATATAGAGTCGAAGGCAACAACAAATGTTATCTTCTTTTCACGTTTAAAATTTTGGATAAATTCTGCTTCATATGAATACAAAAATAGGTCTGCAAATAATTTAGCAAATTCTTTTTGTTGGTAGTTTTTCCTTATTTGCAAAAGCAATATCTATTGTTTGTGTAATGTAAATGGTATTTTAAACGAATTCCCATCAGGAAATGTCTGATCGAACTTCAAAAGGCTGTACCGTCACGGTGGCTCAATCGGTAGAGCACTACTTCCGTGATCGGAAGGTACTGCGTTCGGATCTCTGCTGCAACTGACCTAAAGTCAGTAAAAGAAAAATGGGTAAGAAATGTTCCTTAGCAATGCACTCGGCACTTTAAAGTGATAGTTGCGGGTCCTTCGGATTAGACCTTAAATCCGAAAACCCGGTAGGCGTTGGCCTTCACTGCTCAATGATCCTAAGATCCTAAGATATCTAAAGGTGTACATTTGTAGCCCTTCACCTGTATATGGTGACGTCTCAATGTGAGTGAAAATTTTCTGACGAAAAGCAAAATACAATCAATCAAAATTTATTTGCTGATACTTATCCAACATTAATGGTTAACTATGAACCTCCTAAAATAGAATAATTCAATTGTGGCTGGGCGACGTGAAGAAAAAATTATTAACTGTTTTATAAAACAAAACAGAAATAAATTAAAGAATATTCAAAAAAATAAGAAGAAATGTATTGATTTTTAAAATATTTAATCATAAATATTGAATCACTAGATGACAAATGTTATAATATGAATCACAGGCATACGAGAATAACTGTACGACTTAAATGTTTATTTATTCAAATTATCAACATTTAAACATTTTTGCCATTGAGTGGCTTTTTTAAATGTTTTCAGGACTTTGCCCTCTTCGACACTTCACTTATTTCATTGCATTATCTTCCCGTTCTACTTGACGGTTATACTTAACAGAGCTATAAGGCCGGAAAAACCTTGATCGGTTCACTCCAGATCTAGTCATCGGAGCATTTTCTTTATATGTTTGGTCCATGTATTCACCCTCTTTACGATAACTTTCCTTTTTAGAATTAATGTTTTTCATTGACATTGAATTATTTGACTTCATCAAAGCGTAATAATTCATATTCATACAAGTCTTTGCGGGTAATGTACATGTAAACATATTTTTCAGTTGCAAACGGTTGTAGGTATCACTTTCCCTAAAGTGTCCCTTATAATAAGTCTGATCACGGCCACTACCATGTTCTCCATTATATGCATGATCCAGAGGACTAGAGTAGCTAGCCGATTCTTGCCATTCTTCACCATATTGCCTAGTGGAGCTTTTGCACATGTGCGTCATCGTGGACCTGCCCTCTTCAAGCGGTTTATATTTTTCAGATTGAGAGACATCTGTATTTTCAATCATTTTTGATTCTCTTACATGGCTATATATATCACCTCCGCCTTCTTGATCTAAACATGTATTTGCTGAAATACCACAGGAGAAAGAAAAAAGTTTAAAAAGAATAACTCTTTCGTTAATAGAAATGTTAAACGATTCCTAAAAGTGAAGACCCCATACCTGTATTACCCAGATTTGCATTTGATTCACGTTGTTCTTTTCTGTTACTGAAAAGGTAAAAAAAAATATTATAAGAAAATAAGAAGAATATCAAAGCTAATCAAATAGACAAAGCTACCTTTTCAAATGATAATAACTTTTAAAAACTTACAGTTTCCTTCGGAGGTAGTAGACTGCCCCCAAAACGATAAAGATAAGAAGACCGCATGGAATGAGTATTATTATTTGTAAATAATTGCTTGTAAAAGGTTTCATACCATTGTCCTGAGCTGTACCTGAATAAATATAAAAATGTTGAAAAATAAAATTTGATTGAAATTGCTTGAAGTCAATTTTCTCTACTACACCATTTAAACCCTTATAATTTTAAATGTACATGTATATAAAAACTGATTTTTTTAAAACTCAATTTGCCTGGATAATTAGTAAAATCCTTTGAAAGATCATCAGAAGATATGTAAAACGTTGTAATAAGGTGTTTTGGCGTATCTAAAGAATCGCAATAACGTTATTTCCTGTATCATGTAAGCCTCGAATTGACATTCAGGATACCTGTATGATGTAAACTATTTCATTTCCAGTCCAAATTTTAGACTACAGTGATTAATATACAGCCAGCAAGTACTACATGCTAAAATGAATCAATGGTATCATGCATAAAATGGCACTTACCAGAGTATGAACTATTAGGAACAATGCACCCTCTTTCTCTGCCACATGTCTGACTTTGACTAAAATTACAACGCTCACGACATCCATGTCCTAGTACCCGAACATACATGGATTGGAGCAATTTGTTCCAAAGGAACCAATGCAAGCTATAAAATAACAACACATTTTATAAACGCTTTTGAATATGAACTACGCGTTATGAAATTAGTAAAAGGATATAAATATACCTATGCACTCCACTAAAATATTCTTATAATCTTGACAACAGGATGGATTTCCATTTCTGTAAAATTAAACAACTTTTGTAACTAAGACATTAATTTATTTCTTTTTTTAAAAAGTCTTATTTAAAACCATAATTTGAATAATTTTTATCGTTGATTATCTCATGAATTTGCTTATATGAATGTAGCCGTACGAAGAATAAATTAGAAAAGTTATGCATGTTATTTTCTTTATCAAGTTAAATATATCATTATTTTCCTTCAAAAACTTCCTGAAACTTTTCAGTTTATTTTCAATACGAATGTACAGAATAGCCGAATCAGTATTTACTTTTTCAATATTTTAGTAAAATAAAATACTTACGAATCAGGACAAATTGAAGAGTCTTCGGAAAAAAAAACATATGAATTATTAGTGGTACAAACTATCACAACTAACAAGAAGAAGAACTGATATTCCATTTTGCTTTGTTAATTGTAAGACACAAAATGTATCTTACACTCAACAAAAACACACAATTTATACTTGAAATTATTTCCTTGACAACAGATGCTTATTTTTGGTTTGTTCCCGTTTTGCACACATTTGAATTACAGGTAATTAAAAAATGTGTGAAAAACGGGAATTTGACCAGGTGAGATAATTACTTAATTGCTATAGTCTATACCATACTTAGCTTAGTAAGTATGTGAAAGGTGAACTTATAGTGAAAAAAATAAGAGAATAAATACAAAGTTAATGTATTTGATTATCTGATGATCTTATTATAACATCTTCTTGGCTTGGGCATTATTTTCAAATTACTTCTTATTCACTATTTTCTTTATTATATGTTATATCTTTCATTCATTCGGAATTTTATCAAGACTGAAAAGTACGTATTCTTTCTGTAAGAAATTGGACTTAATAATAAATAATATTAAACAAATACTCATAATTTATTCAATAAAATCAAATATTTTCCCATAAATATCATATATAGAATTTTAATAAAATGCTTATAAAATTGTATTAAACCTCTTAAGAATACATTAAGCTAAATCAGGTATTCACAGGTAAATCCAGGTAAATTCAAACCAGAAATCAGACTATAATTGCTATCAAAACACACTTCACACCTATTGTTCTCTACTAATTACCAAATGTGTGCAAAACGGGAACACACCGTATATTTAACTTTAAGATTTAAAAATACATTTAATGCATGAATCTTAAATGACCATCTAGCTGCAAAATGATCACTATAAAAAAAAACAAATCTCTTTCGTCAAAGGTCAACATGTCCAAATTTTTTTTACAATAGCCCCAAAACTATGTAAGGTATAAATATAAAACTTTTACTGTTTATAAATTTGTTATTGATTAATAGATAGAAAGTATCATTTGATAAAAAAAAAATACTTGGAATAGTAGTAATTGAGAAAAAATCCTCTTAAAAATGCATATATCTTTAAAAAAAATACACCTAATTAATTCCGTGCCTTTAGTGAAAACCATCATTGCAGAAACAAAATATGTTTATCAATGAAGGGCAAGTTGGACTTGGATAGCCTCTGGAAAGTTGTTTTCCATGTTTATTTTGTCCAAATGTTAAGACTTGAAAGTGAAAGTACACTGCAAATGGCGGATTCTATAGGGGTCTTGTCTTTATACATGTCATGTTTTCAAAAACAGCCTTTCAGAGACCATTCACGCCCAACCTGCCCTTGAATGATAAACATATATTATTTCTACAATGTTAGTTTTCACAAAAAGGACAGAATTAAGCAGGTGCATTTCTCTTTAAATATGCACATTTTCTGATACAATTTTTCTCAAAAAATATCTTTTTAAAAATATTTGTTAACAAGTGATACTTTCTATCTATTAATCAGTGATATATTTAAAAACTGTAATCGTTTTGATTTTATACCACACATAGTTTTGGAGCAATTGTAAAAATAATTTTGTAGACATGTTGACCTTTGACGAAACCTTAATGTTCATGGTATATAAAGCGTTTCCTGCAATTGCAAACTACTATCAAACTTCTTATTAGACATTTCAGTATTTATGCGAGTTCGGACTCGTACTTTGCCTGCTGATAACAAAAAGGGGTCGTATGAAAGGTTGAAAAAGCCTTAGACGTATCGTTTGTCAAATTATAATTTATAGTGTAAACGTTATAAACACTTTAAATATTAGAGAGGTGTAAAATATATTTACTTTTGGGTGTTAATAAGATAGTCTATTCAACATGAAACTTGTCTTTTGACACGCATCCCCTAAGGATCCTTATATCCATGTATGAGTACGAGCTCGAAATTGCAAACTCTGGAAATGTCTATTAGTTGCACTTGGTTTAAGATTATTGTCTCATAGAAAATAATCAATTCCAATGGTACATGTTGAATACAAGCTAAATCTTCATTGTTCAACTCTTTTGTCGATTCTTAACTTTTAATTGAAGTTTTAAGTTGCTTCTTTATTCCACATAACAAGAACAGACATAGTCAATAACTAAACATCTGATGAGAAATTTAAATGGTGACAAATCGTTTTATCTGTAAAAAGTCATAAAACATTGAAAACAAAAATGAAGTGCATCCCAACGAACAATAGATTTCCTCAATTTTGTACATTGTGTGTTGTAATTTTTCTAAATTTAATTTGATATTATTTAAATTAATGATTCATTAAATATTGAACGTGCAAGTATAAAGTACAAAACCAATACGGCTATGATACATTTTCTTAAAATATAAATAGTTATATACTTAAAATGTCAATTTCTTTTATCAAAGCAATGACTTCCTTAATTGAGACCTGAACTTTAATTGGGACAATCAAAGTTCACAAGACTAAAACATTTGACGTGAATCATTTTCCACGGCCATTGAGAGAAGAAGGATATGGTGATAACGAACAGTATTCAATGTCAAAGTCCATAAAACATTAAAAAAATAGGAGGAGAGCAAACACGGACTACCGAAACATCAGAGGTGGGATCAGGTGCTATGGAGGAGTGAGCATCCCCTGCTGACCGGAAACGGAAAAATCCGTCGTCAATTCAGCGTATAAATAATGGCTTAACAATTAGTATGAAAAACGTCAGTCAGTATTTGACTCGATGATTAACTGTATTTGCTGACAAGGTCATTGTATCGACCATAGAACTTACGAAATGATGACTTTAAAAGAGACTTGATATTTTTTTTTCATCAACTTGTTTTTCATTATTTATCCTAGTTTTAGAAATTGTTTATACGTAGAGCATGCTCTTTCGTATCGAATCAACTGAGATATATAGACTTCATATGCAGGTAATGAAGGTATATTGCTGCATAAGTAAGGGAAGCTGACAATAGAAAAGTTAAAGTCTTCAGGTTTATCATAGAGCTAGTTTAAAAGTTGTTAGTTGTTAGATTACCATTAGCGTCTTTTTTCAAGGAAAATATCCAAGTATGAAACAGATGTGTCAGACTCTGTGGTATATCTTTTATCTCAAGCTCACCAGGAAATATCGTATCGACAAAGGAATGGAAATTACCACTGTTAATTGACAATACGTCGTCGATATATCTAAATATTGAGTTGAAGGCCACAGCAAGCGTTTTCTTCTTTTCACGCATAAGATTTTGCACAAATTCTGCTTCATATGAATACAAAAATAGGTCTGCTAATAACAGAGCGCAATTGGTACCCATGGGAATTCCAATTGATTGTTCAGAGTACTTGTGTGTGCAATCAGAGAGTCTTTTAACAAAATGATTTTTCAAATGACCAGTATGTAAGAAGAAAAAAAATGAGGTTAACTGTGCTTATACCTTTTTGAGATTTTAATTTCAAGAATTATTTGATGTCCTTGTCAGCAAATACATTCTATCAAATGATGACTTTATTGGTTCATACTAATTACTTATTATTTCCCGATCTAGACACATGGTTAACGGCGGGTGTGACAGCTCGGCACGGTACGTCTCAGAAGTTCATTCCAGTTCTAAAGTACATTACTCACACTGGTAAGCTTGAACAATTTTGTTTTTTCTTATCTGTTAATGGTTTTGTCCTGGATTTGGTCGCAAAATGACAGTAAATACCAGAAGCTTTAAAATACTAGAACATAAAAACTTGAAATTATAAAGAAACCTAAAACATTATCGAATATGGAATACACATCAAACATTTTTTACAAAAGATTTAAAAAAGTTGTTCAATTTATTACATACTCTTTTCCATTTATATTTAGGACAAAGGTTCTTATATTTTTGAATGTTTAAATTCTAGATATAGACTTGATTGATCATCATCTATTCTTGATCAACATTGCGATGGTATTTCACAGAGCTGTACGGCCGGAAGATCCTTGACCGCTTCATCCCAGATCTTGCAATGGTGGGAATTTCTTTTTTTTTGACTGGTTAGCATACTCACAGTCTTTAAAATGTTCCCTTTCAGCATAAATGTTTTCATGTGATACAGGTAGTAGATAATTTTCGACTTAGAAGGCAAAGTACATGTACACATCTTGTTAAGATGTAATCGAGAATTGTTACCGCTGCATCCTTCATAATGTATCCCAGGTCTAGAGAGTTAGAAGTTGATTCATGGACATTTTCCCGGTGCTGTTTTGTTTTGATACACTCATGGACGTTTTTGTCATCTTTTACCTCTTTAGCATACTGAAATTTTCTGGTTGATCATTCTCGTATTTTCAATCATCCGTGATTCATGTACATCATTATAAATGCATTTGCCTTGTTTCTGCTGCACCGGACATACATTCCCTGAAAAAAAGAGAAAAAAAGTCTTTCTCTGCTTCAAGCTGAATTAAAGGGAAACCAATATACCTGAAGGTGAAAATTCCCTAACATCAGTATTGGTATTTGATCCAATGCCCGACCTATAAATTAGATAAAAAATACCAATATAGAATAAAGTGTAAATGACGTTAATGACTTCATTTAAGTCTTAATGATAAACTTTAAATATACTCACAGTTTACTTTGAAGGAAGCATACTATACCCAAAACGATGAAGGCAAGAGCAAGATCTGCACAAATAATTATTATCATGGATTGTAAACTATAGCTGCTTCCGTCGGATCTCTTATATGATAGTTGTCCCAGAAAAAACGAACTTTTAGAATATTTCAAATACTATTCAACCAAAACTTATAATTTTCTGCACGCTGTTGAAAAATGATTATTTTGTTATTTTGACAAACTATTACAGGCGTGTGATGTTAAAT